TATATATATGTGTGTGTGTGTGTGTGTGTGTGTGTGTGTATATATGTTTATGTGTATCTATATATTATATATATGTATATACATATGTATATACATATGTATATATATAAGTATATATATATTATATATATATATTATATATATTTATATATTATATATATATTATATATATATATTTATATATATATATATATATAATTATATGTGTGTGTGTATGTGTGTGTGTGTGTGTGTGTGTGTGTGTGTGTGTGTGTGTGTGTGTGTGTGTGTGTGTGTGTGTGTGTGTGTGTGTGTGTGTGTGTGTGTGTGTTGTTTGTGTGTGTGTGTGTGTATACATTTATTTGTATATATTTATATATATATGTATATGTATGTATGTTTGTGTGTATACATGTATATATGTATATATATCACATGCATAGGCACAGTATCATTTCCCCCCCTAGGAAGTTGAGGGAAAAGCTCTGGAAGTGAAGGCCGCTGAATCAAGAGTGAGAGATGAGGTGAAACTACAGCTTGAAGAACTGGAACAAGAACGCATACAAACGGCCAAGTTAAACAACACAATCTCACAGCTTCAAAGGTAATGCCATAAGAGAGTAATTTCCATGTCCTTAGCTTTTCATACCTTACTCTGTTCAGATGTTAATTGGTACAGATTTGTCTGTATAGATATGTCGGTAGAGGATTTCCCAAAATATGTATTTTTTTATGTTGATAATGTGGAATAAAGTAAAAAGTTAAAACATGAAAATAGGACAAAAAATCATAAAGAATATATGTGATTTGCATACCATTCTGCTTTATGTAAACATTTGTGTGTCCTACATGTTTCAATTGAACAAATTGGCATTCATTCTTGTCTTTGAGTGATTTCCTCCACATTACAGGAGGAGGCTTGACTCAGGTAAACTTAATGAGCAGGATAAACTGAGATATATATATACTTTGCAAAATCTCTGGAATATAAAACTAATACTAGAAAGAAGAACTTTTCTTTAAGACTGAGATCTTGAAATACATCCCTCTCACTCACAGAACCATTGCCGAAAAGCAGTTAGAGTACCAGACCGACTGTCGTAATTTAGAAGACGAGGTCAGAAGAGCAAAACTTGAAAGCAAGCAGTACAAGGATGAGATCCAGAAACTGAAAGAGGATGAGGTGCGGAGAGTTGGCATGCTTCACTCAGCCTTTGTGTCTTACTTTAATGCATCCCCAACATCGCCCGGAGCATTACCTGCAGAAAAGTTGTAACATGTGTTTGAGCATGTTATTTTAAATTTACCGATTTTATTTTTAAATTTTTTTTCACAAAAGAACATAGGAAAGAAACTGCAAGTTGTAAGGGAAATGAAATGTATTCGAATACTTGAGATTTGCTCACTTCTCAAGACAATAAAGCAGTCGCATTGATTACAATAGTTTACACTGCCATTATGAAACATAAAATGATCACTTAGTTTGAAATATAATAACATTATCTTCGAAACAGATAAAGTAGGACATGTATAGTGTGAGGTGTTTGTTTCATTACTATTATGATTTGGTTTCAGTCTATAAACTCTGACAATGTGGCTTCATTGCTTTTTAACTGTAGACTGTACATTTTCACTTAGAAAGCTATGTTAAACCCATACATGGCTTAGTGATTAGAAATTGTATAAAATGTTCAGAGAAATACCAGTTAAGAAATATTACAGATATATCACATGTACCCTGAATTGCTCCATTAGTGGTATCTCATATTGACTATTATAATTTCACAAGGAAAAAAGGCCTTTTAGACTAAGTAGCTATATGCTTAATTAGGGTATGATTTGAAGTTTGTCTTATTTACCATATGTGGTGGCTGGTGTATAATTGTGACATGTTAATTCTTGGACATTGAGCTGCATTATAGTGAAGTTATGTAAAGAACCAGCTTCATTCTACTCAATTATAAATTGGTACTTGTTATTTTTAGAAAGTGTGGATTGTGCATAGACAGTTATTGCTATTAAGCTTTTTTTTCTTTTCTTTGTTCTTTTTTCAGAAGTATCACATTTTTGTTATATAAAGTTAGATGAATATTTATGGACATGGCTTTGTATTTTTTTAGTAAATGAATTTTCATGTTTTGATACAAGAATGCAAGAAACATGTTAGATCTGATGTTTGCAAAAGCTTTAGACAGAATGAATATATATGTATAGTAATATAATGAAATGTATGTATACTCTTTCTAGTCAAATAAATGTAATATGACAAGTGTTGATGTTTCATTTGAATAAATGTTTAGTATACACTGATGGAAAAAAATTATTTTATAAATGTTTCATATTTTGTTATACTTGTATGGGTAATCAGCAATGTAAACTGGCTGGGGGCTTGGGGATAAAGACACCTCAGTCCTTTTTCTTATATCAAACTACCCCTATAAATCAAAATGAGGTAAGGAAAAGTGTCTAAGACGGTGACTAAGGCCCAATGTAGGGGACTACCCCTACCTTGGACCGCAGCTCTTGCCTCAACTAATACGGCATGGTCTTTTCTTCTCCCCCATTCTGTTTCCATCTGCTCTTCATCCTCATCTTCTGTCCAATTCCTAGGGTGTGAGAGCTGTGCTGAAAAGATTATAGAACTGCTTTGTGTTTGTCATGAAACTGCCTCCAGCGGAGCCATGGGCACGGTATTTCTCCATTTACATTTTTTGTGATTCCCCCACAGCTTCTTACTCTGACAATACCCTTCTCTTCCAAAAACGTTTTACAAAGCTTCCTTTTGCAATCGTCCCAATTGTTCAAGCCTTGTCACAGTTACATTCGAATCCCAAGATCATGCACTATCTATTACTCTACTCCTTTGTTTCTCAAACCTCCAGAAACTCTAGGGGAGATACAAGACTACCTGAACGTGACCCAAGGGAATGCTGTGGTCCCTCATCCCCCTTCAATTAATCCTTCCCATTCCTTCTACATTCAAAGTATTTACTGATATCCATCCTCCTCCCCCCTCAACTTCCTTACCCTCCTTCCTCCCACTCTCTCCCAACACACCCGAACCTCTCCTCTATATACACCATTTTTCCTCCTTGTTCCCCATTATCCTTACCATTCCCATCTGGAAGCTTGTATGAGTCCCTCTGTCACAACAGTGTCCTTCTCCAGATACCTCCCCTCCTGACATTCTTCCTGATGCTTCACCACCTAACCCAGTCCCCATATCTCATTCCCTGAATTATTCTCCTCCTATTTCTCCAACAGCCATCTCTACCTGTATTAAATGTTAATTGTTTCATAATAGCACTTACACCAGTCTTCCTTAAACAATGTTCCTATTCTTTCCCGAGCCTCAGATACTCTCCATTTCAACCAATCACCATACGCTCTTAACCCTCTCCTCTTTTATATCATTTGCTTACCCAGTTTACCCTTTTCACTACTGAATATGCTATCCTATAACGCTCTATATGCTTTGACATATAACGCATTCTTTCCTAATTGTTAATTTGATTTTTGCTGAAGTGCTATATGACTTTTGATGTCTAGTACATTTATTTGTTTTTAACCATTAACTACTATGCACACACCGCGCGCACACACACACACACACAACACCACACACACACACACACACACACACACACACACACACAACACCACACACACACACACACAACACACACACACACACACACACACACACACACACTTCTATATATATGTGTGTGTGTATAGGTATAAGGTATATAATTTTTTTTTTGTGTGTATGTATGTATGTATATATATGAATGTATGTATGTTGTGCCGTATCTATGTATATGTATACTATGTGTGTGTGATGTACATACATACCTACATCTATATATATATATATATATATATATATATATAATATATATATAAGTATATATATATATATATATATAATATATATATATATATACATATACATATA